GAGAGAGAGAGAGAGAGAGAGAGAGAGAGAGCAGAGGAGAGGGAGAGAGAGAGAGAGAGAGAGAGAGAGAGAGATCGGAAAAAGAGATACGGCGAACGCGCGAGAGAGAGAGAGAGAGAGAGAGAGAGAGATCGGAAAAAGAGATACGGCGAACGCGAGAGAGAGAGAGAGAGAGAGAGAGAGAGAGAGAGAGAGAGAGAGAGATCGGAAAAAGAGATACGACAAACGCGAGAGATTCGAACGATAACCGCTTGTCGGCCGATCTCCGTGTGTTCCGTCGCTGCAACGAGAGACAAAGTATCCGATAAATTATGGTCGGGGAACAATTCCATCGATTATAGCGCGTTTCACGAAACCGCGTCGTCGCGCGATCAATTAGCGTTCGCGGGTCCCGTCGAAAATGTCCTGTGGCTAGGATAAGTATAGATAATTTATTACCGTGGTCTCTCGATGAAGACGACGAACTTTGACAGAAGAAATAAGACCTTCTTACTATTCTTTAACTTTTCTATTCTATTCTATTTTCTTAAAATATTGGATCTCTGAAAGTACAGATTTCATTAAAAAAGCGTAACATAAAGAAACCGCACGTGTACCATAACCTGCAATTACGTATCCGTTGCTGCGAGCTAAATACTCTGGACGTTTCGATTGCTGCGTGTCAAGATTGACATAACCCATTTTCTTTTAAAACACACACACACACACACACACACACACACGCACACACACACACACACACACACACACACACACACACACACAATTATGATTAAGACACGACAGGGTAGGTATATCTACTCCGCGATCATGCGTGTTCGCGCCGGCTCGTCAAGAACTGCGCCGTATAGGTTAAGGTACGTAGTTCGGTAAAGCACCGCTCTCTACCGTACATTACTATGTATAGTAAAAATCTACGCGCCAAAAACTACGTTAGCAAATAATATTTGAGGTTAGACGATAGCGACAGTGTACGCGTATAAATAATTTGCAAGGACGGAAGACAAAAAAAAGATAGTGTCACGAAGTGTGGAGCATAAATAAATAATAGAAATAATAAAATATTCTCTCTCATAATAATACAAGTGGAATAAAATATTCTCGCGAAGCAAAATTGCTCGACAGCTTTACAACATTTTAGCACAAAACTGGAATAAATATTGTATTCGTTGCGAGTGTAAAAAAATCGACAATTTGATGCCAAATAAATTACAGATTCCCGTGGAAATATACTCGACGGATGTCTCGTAGAAATGCGACTGCGGGAAATCTGTTTTCGCCGAGCAGAAACTTTGTTATGCTAAAATCGACTGGGCTCGCGTGAAGCAATGCTTTCGGATCGCATTGGCCGTGCGCTTTAGCAACGTTTCCTAGTTTCCCTGATTGAAATATCGCGGCGCATAAACTCGCGAAGGAGAGACGAGCGCGCGCGGCTCGCATACTAACACGGCTGTGCACACGCGTCGAACCTTGGTCGCCGCGGCACCGATATCAGAGTCAATCAATTTCTTTTCTGTTCCGCGCGGAACGCTATAAATAATGTGTCCCGCTGATTTATGCTGATACGCGAGCTGGCAATCGTACGGAGGCTCGTCAAAATCGTGTTGGGCGCCCTTTTGTCGTTCATTTCTACTTCGGTATATTATACCGATAAATTGTCGATTCTCGATTCGATAGACCGATTTTCACGAAACAAAATCGAACAGGTTTTTGCTTTTCCGCGACAGTAATTTTCGCGGGCGGAGAAGTAAATAAATAAATCGTCTCAGAGAAATTGAAATTAAGCGAAACCTTTTTCATTGATTCTTGTCAAAAGGAAATTGCAATTTATTCCACTGGGTACCCCGAAAGTTACTCGAAAAAGGTTACCGAGAGGTTCTTGAGGCCATTCGAAGTAACTTTTTCCTTTACAAAAATTTTCTCCGACGCACCGTTAACGAGTTATTGACGAAAAACACTGACCAATGGCGCGGGACGCTTCGCGCCAACTGCTCTCGCGTCTGATTGGTCGCTGTTTTTCGTTAATAACTCGTTAACGGCGACTCGGAGAGAATTTTTGTAAAGGAGAAAGTTACTTCGAATGATCTCAGGAATCTCATTTCCCGATTTTGAGTAACTTTTGGAGCATCCTGTATTAGAATGTTTTTCTGAAATCTGTAAATCATTTTGCAGTTTATTCTTGTCATCCGCGGACGTCTAAAAAGTAATAAACAATTTTATCGACAACGGAATTGCTCTACTATTTAAAGAAACAATTTTCTGTTTCGAAATTCGTCTCGAAAAATCCGCGAAACGATAATCCCTTTATTTGCTTCATGCGAAACTATTATAATATAATATTAACATTAAATAATATATAATATTAATAATATATTAAATAATATTATAATAAACCATTATATACTACCGAGCGATGCGAAACAAAATTTTAACGAATCCGCTCGCGATTGCGTCACTCATTTTGTAATCGGCGCCGGCAGACTATAAATTCAAGCGGAAGTTCCGTGGGTTCTGCTGAAAATGGAGAGACAAAAAAGAGAGAAGAAGAAGAAGCCGCGTGTTAATGAGAGCGACAGCGAAACGTGACCTCCTAATTGTCCCGAGCTACCGACACCGAAACGCCATCGTCCGCCGCTGGCGAAGCGAAAACCGTGGACGAATAAATTTGCATTTTAAAGTTAAATGTCAAGGTACTGGTTTCGTTGTCTCATTGAAAAATCAACGATAATGCCAGGCAACGGGCACGGCATGTGTCCGCCGCGAGTTTCGCGCACGCGGCAACCTGTTTCTCTTAACCTGTTACAAAGGAAAAAAGAGACGAGTTAACTCGTCGTCCGCCTATATACATGTACACTGCCGATAATTTCGTTCGTCCGACGGTGCGAGTATGCGCGCGCTTAATTTCGTCATTATTATATATCAATGAGCTCCGTGAATCGCCACCCGCGTGCGTGCGTGCGTACGTGCGTGCACGAAATATGCTGCGGATCGTTTGTAATACTCGTACAACCCCCTGACACTGGTGGCCGGGTCATCCTTGACCCGAATTCACAAACGACTCGCATAGTTCGCTTTCTAATTGCGATTCGATTGAATCCGCGATTGCGTGCACAGTGTTGCGGAAAAATTGGTCGCGGGTCGATTCTGACCCGGGCGTAGGTTCCTACGGGGTTACGAAAAAGTAACCCGAAAATCGACTGGGTTAGCTAAATTGTCGCGACGGTAATCGTTTGCAATCCCGACGAAAATGTATGTCTCTATGAAATTAACGAAACGATTTGTTTTGCTGTGAACAGGTTTGAAAATAGCTGTGTTACATGGTTGTGATTTAATTAACTTTGTTTTGATCGGAGGAGACCGCGAGAAAGACGCGGATGGTGGCGTGCGTCGTTATTAGTCGATCACTTTTTTTTTCTTAGCCGCGTTTAATAGTCTCTTTGCTAATCCTTCGTTCGGGAACGACGCTGCGCGACACGGTCGACCGGATAATCGAACGAATCGCTTTTTAAACTCGGCATTAATTAGATACGCGTTCAATGCCGCCGGTGCCTTCCCAAGAATCGCGATCTAACCTGTCATCGGGGAATCGTCGTTTTTCATCGTCGAGCAGGAGTTTATTCGTCCTCTTTGCAGTCAACCATTGTCTTAACAATTGCATGGAAATCTGTGCTGTTCTAAATAGCGTTGTGCAGTCATACGCTTGTCTTCCACCTTTATTTATAACTTCTTCCTCGACATAAACATTACTAGGTTACCCGCTGCTACTGTTTTTTTAAACGAATGCGTTGCTTAACGATCCGGTTTGCATGAGCGATTCAGTGAGAAAAATGTACGAATGAATTTTTGCTCGTCGATCAATAGTTTCTTAAATTAACAATACGATAGTTCCGTAAACAATAGAGAACTATTTTCACCCCTTGAATATAAGTACATGCGTACATAATGGCTGCCGAAAGAGTACGCGTCGAATTTATAGTTCTGGAAAGTTTTAACAGAATGATAGAAAATCATCGGCTGTGTGAATGAAATTGTTACAATCGTCGAAATTATTGCTGTACTTGAACTAGCACAATGATAATCGCTTATCGTTCAGCGTTGAATTTAAAACAGTTATTGAACGTTAACAAGGTAACGTGTTTTTTTGTCTGTCCTTTCTGTGTATCTCGTGCATATTTCCGTCCTAACGAGAACGAGAGAATGGAAGAAATTTAATTGCTAACACTGTCGATTAAGAATGGTAATTTCACGAGACAATGGCACACGCTAACGGTTTGAAGAAAAGCGTCGACGCGCACGGTCCCGCTTAAGTTTACTCGGCTGGTACCAACAGTTTTCTAAAGCTGATAATTGGGCATGAAAATTATTTCCATCGCTTCTTTCAATTAACACTGTCCCGATAACATGTCCACGACATTCGTCGTAAATACTGAAGATGGAAGCTCGTTTACAGAAGCCTCTGTATCGCGTTGCAATGTACATAACCTCACATTCGTTTCACTAACGCCGCTTCATCCAACGATTGTGCATGCGCAAATTCAAATATCGCTTTTCATTAACCGTTGCATATGCTGTTCTTCGTTAAAACCCCCTTAGTTACCAACTTCTAACTCATATTCTAATCAAACGACACTGTTCTATATAAATTTGTTTCTCACCGTTAATTGATAAACTTATCGATTGTTACAGTGAATGAACAAGAGAAGATGCCTGGCCACCGTCAGCCTAACACCCTGGAGGGGCTTAGCTTGGGACGCGTGTGTCAACAACTCGACGGGACGTGCCGAAGGCTGCAGGTGCTTTCGCAGGAGTCATCGGCAGCACAAGTTCTGGCTTATGCGAAGCAAAATATCAGGCCGTACTACATAAATGCCCTACCGGCGCGTTTGCGGTCTCAAGTCATCGAAGAGACTTCCAAGATGCTGTATGGACCAGCATCCGATGGATCGACTTTGATTTCTGGACCGGCTCCCCTGTATCTACTAGCCCTGCTTTTAGGACACGACATAAAGCAGTTGAAAGTGTATCTGTGTTGCTACTACGGATGCAGCCATCAGACGTCGCTGTTAAAGCTGCTCGCGACCGAAGGAATTGGGCTAGAATCTCTGAAGTTGGCCCGTTCTGCTTTGCTCAGATTAGATTGTAAACTATTGAAATGTGCTCTGATGAACATGAAGAACCTGATAAGTTTGTCTCTTCGGAATATAGCCAGTGATGCCGTGCTCCAAGTTGTGGGAAAAGCTTGTCCAAAATTGGTTGTTTTGGACGTTGCTTGTTCCAGACAAGTCACAGATGTAGGATTGAAGCAATTGCTGTTGCAAGTAGAGATTAGAGATAAAATGCCTCATGCGGCTATGCAAGAAGCCACCAGTTGGTCCAGATTAAAAATGCTATTGTCAAAATTGAAAATGAGGAACTCTAAGTCGGAGAAAAAAGAGAAACAAGGCGTACTGTTGGAGTATTATGAAAGCAGAAACCCTCTTTGTGATACACTCAGAGTACTTAATGTCGCTAACACTGGTGTGACCAGTGCAGGTGTATTGTTGGCTCTGGTGCACGTGCCAAGATTGGAATCCTTGGCAGAATACTGTCACATGGGAAGAGTGGTAGAAATTATGAACAAAGGACTCATCGGATTCAAAACTCCGTTTAGTTTGACTCAAGCGAGAAGTTGCAGAACCACACCAATACGTTTGGAGCTTTTGGCACAGGCATGCCCGAAAGTGGAAAAACTACATATCTCTGAGCCGCACCACTCCCCAGAAGCATTGCGACTGTTTCCTTATGTTACTTCTTTAAGTGTCCGCAATATCCCATCCCAAGAAGAATGGTTGGAAGGATTCTATGCCTATCTACGCACAAACGGTCACAATTTACAGGAACTGAATCTCAGAATTAATCAAAACGAGAATCCTATTCAGGTGGACTTGAAAGAAATTTTCAACAGCTGTAATAATCTCAGAATATTCACTAGCGACGGTTCTAACATAATTTGGTCGGAAGGATCCGATCCTCCTCCTCTTAAGTACTTAAAGAGAGTCAAATTAGGACGCACAGTGAGTGCTGTAGCAATTACCAAAATCTTTCTGTTAGCACCGGAATTAACGGCGTTACATGTTCACAGTTGTTTCGATCTCACGAACGAACACTTAGAAAAGTTGTTAGGTGTGTCCGCGAAGCCAAAAAATCCGCGAAAGTCTGACAAATGTGAAAATAGTCTAGTGCAGAACCTAACATGCTTTTACATATACGAGGCTAGCAAAGTGTCTGCGTCCACTGTGCTGAATATGTTTCAACATTGCAAGAGACTGAGAAGAATTGGAAATCTAGCGAACTGGGGGTTGGACTGCGAAGGTATTATAATGTTAAGAACAACGCTGATCCGGACGAATCTGGATGTGGATTTGTGCCCGGGAGAGCATTGGTTCTGGAGCAATTGTATCCAGTGATGTTTCCTATATATTCTGTACGGATACGTTAAACGATCCGTGCAGCTCCGATAATGTTTGGTTCACGATAATAGGTTGCTATATCATTCGAATCTATTGCACTCTGATAGACTGTAAATTTGTCAGTATTAAAAGGTATCTTAATAAATATAAGGCAATTTATATTTGAAAAAAGTGCAAGGAAACGTTCATTGCATAGTAAATGTACATCGACATAAAAGTCTAGCAACAGTAATTGGTCACCTTACTATCTGCGTTCAATTGTACGCCTTTCATTATTATACGATAATGATGTACTGAATATAATATAAAGAAGAAGAAGAAGAAGAAGTATATTTTTATGCCATGTTATGATAACTTTCTAAACAGTCGGGCTCTTGGTATTATTTGGTAACCAAACTCGAGTAACCTGGATACCCGTGTATCTATCAAGAGTTCTACGGCAACATACTGTTCTAACAAGAAAATCAAATTTTTTACGCAAACTCATGTGCCACGAACACCATTAATTATTCATCTAACCGAATGCCAGTAATTGAACAGACTTCAGACTTGTAAATTGTACAACTACTTTTTAATTGTCTATAGCTAAGTACTTAAAGAAGAATCGAAATAAAGAAAAATCTTAATTTCTATTGTAACGATTAACTGCAATATGAATTTTATATATGTATACATGTAATATTAGGTATATACGTATAGAAATATATTCACATTGAATTTCAAATTAATACGACACGGACTACGCATGTGTATCGTAACTTTGGAATACAATAAAGAATCGTTTTCGAAGTACCAGTGAATCGTTTGATTACGGAATACAGTGTGACCGATCGAATCGCGAAGAAACTTACCTCGATTAAGCCGTGAGCTTGCAACAGAAGATTAATCAGCTTCGTGTCCGTCTGGAAAATCTTGTACGTCATGTGCAATTGCTTCGCAGGTGGATCTTCCGGGGGAGTGGCTAAGGCGGAGCATCTGGAAAACAATTAGTCGTTCTAACGTGTGTCGCATCGATCAGATAATAAAAGGATACACGATATCTTTCAGCGACTCACTTGAAGCGTAAAATTGATGTTTTGTTTCCGGTTGGTCCGTTCAACAGCCATTCGTTGTGTGGCGGAATTTTGTCCTTCGTTGTGCTGCAAAAATCACGCAAACCATTACGCGCGCCACATTTTCCCGGTACTGAAGGCGGCAAATTTGAAACAACCGAGGCCAAGAGAGCAGAGACACCTAGATGATCTCGTTCCGTATCGTAGCGCCATCGCGCGAGTACCCGGCGTCGGTAAAGCAGAAATCCCTAAATAGTGGCGGTAATTTTCGAAGCGATTAAAGAAAATTTAATTCTCGACACGTCGAAGTGTATTACGATAACGTTATAGAGCCGTTTCAGCGGAATATATAGAAATTGAAAAGTAAAAAATCAAAAATATACGCGTACAATTATTATTTACAGCGCTTTTAAAATGGCGCGAAATTTAATTTCACTTCTCCGCGATTCTTATTTAGGGCGATCGGGATAAAAAGCGAGCCGGTGGAATAGACAAAGTGAAACTCGGAAATTAGTTACGGCGAGTTGAGTCACAACTCTGTTGCGGATAGAATGCAATTATCGCGGTCCCGGCCGGCTGAGTCATATTAAAATAAATAGTATGGCTACCGAGCTCTATTTTTGGCTTTTTTGGAATTTCACGGCGGAGCGATTAATTTTTATTCGAGTCCAGAGAATTTGGGCAATTATTGTAAACATCTGCAGCGCGGTGCTGACTTTCGAAGATTATTTGCGATTCGCTGATTTCTCTCAATTAGTTCGGGTACGCAGCTTATCTGTTATTCGAATCATCTTTTTAGATCTAATTTTTCCAGATGGAAGTAACATGGAAATATTTGTGCAATTCTATATTTAAAAAAATATATATATATATTTTATTATTATTATATATATATAATAATAATATATATATATAATTATTATTATTATATATATATGTTATCTTTAGTGCACAGTAAATTAGTTTTGACATTCTATTGTGACAAGAAAAGAGTTATGGTTGCGCAGTGAAATTTGCATTAAAATCTGCGCTTGCATGCAAAACAGTCTGTTCCAGATTTGTTCGAGAAACGGTGTCAGCGTATTTAACGGCGAGTAAAAAAAAAGATAACAGAAAAGAATATTCATTCGACTGGAATGTTACATAATTCCATGGGGATAGTTAAGAGGGCGATCAAGGAATAATTGAACAGTATGCAATGCGTCGTACAATTGGCGATATTTAGCAACAGATTGACGATATTTATCGAATCTGTTTACATAAGTTGTGTGCGCTAAGTAAGGTCATTGTAAGCCGTGTTTGCTGACATTGCCGATTACCAAGTTTCAAGAAAACGTTTGCCGAGAATCAATACAAGTAGTTCGTAAAACGTTTACCGCGGTCAACGTGGAGAAAATTCTATGGAGTACTAAATATTTCAGCCGAACAAACTTTTATCCTTATTTTTACACACGGTGAAAGTAAAAGTTGCATTTATTAATAAACGATTAACTTTTCACCCTCGTCGATGTATTTTCGTTCTTCGATGTGAATGGAGCTTTTAGAATACGTTGATCTCTCATCTTGCAGGTTATGTCAAGGTAATTTTTGAACTCTGAGAAGTCGGTGTGAAAATAGAGAGACTAAAATCACTGGAAAATGAATTTCTAATATCTTCGTGATTTTTTAGTTTAACTATCGAATCTCAAGAAGCCAAGATGAAAATGTAGTCTGAAATTATTAGGAATTGAAATGTTAATGTCTCCGGTATATTTTACCCTGCCACATTTAAATCTCGATAAATCAGAGTGAAAATAATCAGAGAGACTAAAGTCACTAGAAATTGAATTTTTAATATCTTCATTATTTTTTAGTTTGCCACTATTAAACCTCAAGAAGCAAAAATGAAAATGTAGTCTGAAATTACTAGAGATTAAAATTTTAACGTCTCCGATATATTTCCTTGCACCATTACCGTCTGTCGAGAGGTCAAAGTTGAAATAATTCGGCTGAACGTTCAGCTATCGAGTTCCTAACCTATCCAGTAATATGCAGCGTGCGATCTTCGAACCGTGAAAGGTCAACGTGAAAATAAAAAGAATAACCAATAAAAATAATATAATAAATAATAATAATAAACTAAAATAAAATAAAAATAATATAATAAATAATAATAATAAACTAAAATAAAATAAAAATAATATAATAAATAATAAACCAATAGAAATCTGAATACAGTTGAAAAGCAGGCGATTTCGAAGTAACAACCGTCGAGAGTCCTAGCACGAAAATCGTCTAATTAAGCGTGGACCGGTAACGCCATACCTCTCCGATGTTTCTGATTTGTGCGGCTTATGTACAAGGGGCTCCAGTGTCTCCTCGCTGCTGTTCGACAGTTGCGACATCCCGGAGAGACTGGAGGACGACATCAGTTCCTTCGGTCGCTTCCCTTCCAATTTTCCGACGGTGATGGTTTTCATCTGGGAGAGCATAATTTATCTGGAACAAATCAACGAAACCAATCAGAATATGTAGCATCGCGTAATAATCACAGAATCGCGAATTTTCCCCGAGCATCTTACAGCAGGACTACTCGAACTGGTACTTCCGGAAAATTAGAGATTACCGAGGTTATTCGAAGCAACTTTTTCCTTTACAAAAATGTTCTCCGAGGCATCGTTAACGAGTTATCAACGAAAAACATTGCCAATGAGAGGCGAGCTCGGTTGGCGCGAGGCGTTCCGCGCCAATCAGCGGAACTGGATTTCGCGCGCTCGTTGGTTCAGCCGCTGCGCGCCTACTCGAGCTCGCCGCTCATTGGTCAGCCTTTTTTCGTTCATATCTCGTTAACGGCGCCTCGCATCAAATTTTTGTAAAGGAAAAAGTTACTTCAAATCACCTCAGGAACTCCTCATTTTCCGGAAATACCATAATTTTAGGACACCTTTGTATTATATATTAATACTTATAATTGTTATATGTTAAAGTTGTTTATTAGTCCTTATATACATATAATAGTATTACACTTGTCACATACTATTGTCACGTAATTTTTATTTACAACTATCGCAATGATATCTTGCATGAAACATCGCAATATTTATCACCGTATTTTCGGTTGTGCATTCGCATTCGTGCCGAACTGTCTGTCTCAAACACTTTAGAAAAAAGTCTGTCACCTTCGATGATCTTTCCATCTCACAATTAAATAAATTCTGCGAACATCTCCTATTCTTTAGGTTGAAGTATAGGTTATACTCCATATATATTATATATATAGTATAGGTTATACTCCAAGGTTTGCGCAGAGAAACGTTTCACTTTCACGCGAATCGAACAGAATTAATTTCCGAAGACACGAATTTGGCCGGTGAACAAATCGGCACGAATCCGACGGACGAATTGGACCGAAGCCGGGCGAACGAATTGGTTGAAGAAGCCGGTGACAAGGACGGATAACGTCAGCGCGGCTGGCGACGAGCGGGAAGATAACGAACCCGAGCATTAGCGCTCTCGCGATTTCCCTCGAGTTGTTCATCCCGCGCGAAACCGGGAATGGCGGCCGGTTTCGACAGAAACGTCGATAGTTTGTCGTTGAGCGAAAAACGACCGTGCAAACTTTTAACGGAACGCGCGAACGAACGGATATGCACTAAGAGGCCGCCGCGCTAACGTTTCAAACGTGCGGTAGGATCGATGTGCGTGGGCGGTGTGTGTTCGGATCGAACCGGCGCCATATGATCGATAGTTTCACGGTGTGCAACATCGTTAGGCCGCGCGACATTTCGAACCGGTCTCTCCTCTCGGCTTCTCCTTGGACTTCGCCTAGCTCGAATTCAGCTGCTCTCTGTTTGCCAACTCGGCGGAGTTTCATCCACGACAGCACAGAGAATCGTATCCGTCGTTGTTTAAGGAGAATTCTCGAAAAAGAAACGTTCCGTTTTTTTCGAGGTTACGTTCTTAGGATCAGCGGAACTCTGTGTTGTCCCATTCAAGAAAATATACAGGGTTCTGTCAAGGTCGAAATAACCTTCAAATGATATCGTCACTACAACATTGATATAAATAATAAATCATACATGTATTATTAACGATAATACATACTGTTAATTTTAATAATATACAGGGTGTCCCAAAAATGTCTCGCAATCCGGAAATGGCGGGTTCCTCGGATCATTTGAAGCAGCTTCTTCCTTTACAAAAATGTTCTCCGAGGCACCGTTAACGAGTTATTAACGAACAAACAGTGCGCCAATAAGAATCGAGTACGGCTGACGCGAGGCGGCCCGGCCAACCGGCGCGCGAAGCCCGGTTCCGCTCATTGGCTCGGCTGCCTCGCGTTAGCCGCGCCGCCTCGCGCCAGCCAAGCTCGCCTCTCATTGGCGCACTGTTTTTCGTTGATAACTCGTTAACGGTACCTCGGAGAACATTTTTGTAAAGGAAAAAGTTGCTATTGCTTAATATATATAATATTATAATTTATATAATATTAATGTATGTAACGCGCTGTTTGTTCGGGATACAACGGAAGGACACAGAGTGAAATTGCACTGGACTTTATTCGGAGATGTATATAAATGACGCGCGGTGCAGATAGTTACATGAAGCTCGGTGGAATAGTTAAACGTGAAGAAGCTCGGCGAAATGTTTAGACGAGAAGAAGTTCGCAGTTTCTTTTGGGAGACGCCTTTTTGGGAGACTCGCTGTCTTCTCTTCCCCCGTTTAGTTTGGCGGGGGAGGCAGCCATCGTCGAACCTTCACTGTAGGGGCGCGCTGGCCGTTCGGCCGGGTAGCGGTACGCGGCCGGCGACTTTCTCTGCGACTAGGCCTGCAGTACATGTGGCAGTGATAAAAAAATAAAGAGACAAAGGAATTTCCGGGTCTTGCAAACGTCAAGGACGTTTTCTCTCTGTCGAACCCTTGACATCTGCAAGCGGACAGTTTTATGGTTATTACGGTCGCCGACCGTGTACCGTAACTATGAAGGCGAAGCCGCTTATCGCGATTAGTCGATTCTTGGGACCGACTGCTTACATTTCCAATTCGGCGACAATCGGGGAGAAAGCACTATACGGGGGGGCCTGAGTTTTCTTTTCGGGGTTCGGGAGTCAGTCGCTGCGGAGCATCCTTCGGGTGAAGAACTTCCCGGTATCTCGTAAAGATTTCCTTGCTTAACCTATCTTTTTTTACCTAATTTTCCGTGTCCAGTATTATTACCAATGATATTAATAATAATCAGTGATACGTGTATTTACTAGTGTAAATTATAATATCGTTAATATCGTTATCAGCAATCGTTCCTTCGAATCGTCTATTATATTTATTTATTTATATTTTACACGCTACATCGCGTACAAGTATCTCTATTATTAACATCATGATACCGAACGTACACGTAAAAAAGTACATGTTGTTGAGCATGCAGCAACGTCTGGAAGTGTTGAAGGATATCTACGTGGCAGGCATGACGCCGCAGCAGGTCGGGAAGAAATATGGCGTCGGGACCAGAACGATCCAACGGATTATACGGAATACCGAGCAAATTATCGCGCTAGTTAAGAACCAGCGGGTGCTGAAGCGACGGAAAATAACGAAGATACATTACGAGGACATCGACAGAGAATTAGTGTCGTGGCTCGCGGAGAAGAGGGTGCTTCGCTACCGCGTCACCGACGCTCTCATAATCGAGAAGGCAACGGAGTTGAAGCAGAACTTCCCGTCGTGCTCGGGATTCAAAGCCAGCCGTGGCTGGTTAACAAAGTTCAAGAGACGTCACGACATACGTTTGTTGAACATGTACCAGGAGGAGACCGCAGACGACGATTCGATCGATGCTGACGCTGCTTTTCTGGCTAATTTCCGAAAAACAATGGAGAAAGAGAACGTCGGTCCGGAGAATGTTTACAACATGGAGGTGAGCGGGCTCGTGTGGAAGGCCCTTCCGACGAGGACCGCGGCCGGTAAGAAGGGAAACAATCTGGTCGACGCGAAACCGAGAAGGAGCAGAATCACGATCGGCCTGTGCGCCAATGCGTTCGGAACGCACAAGCTCATGCCTGTCGTGATTTACAGATACAACAATCCCAGAGCCTTGAGACACTTGGCGTCGATACCGGCGATCTTGAAAACGCAGGAGAACTTAGAAATGGACAGAACTGTGTTTCTAGACTGGTTCGAGAATCATTTCAAAACGGCCGTGAGGCAACGCCAGCAGGAGAATCGAACCGCGGGAAAAGTGATCTTGTTGGTGAACAATTGCGAAGCCTATCGAGTCTCGACGGAGGAACACGACGATTTTATGATCATGTATTTACCGAATAATGCGACGTCGACTCTGCAGCAGACGCCGCTGCAATGCATCATGGAGAGAACGAAGCGGGTTTTTCGTCGGAAGCTCGTGAAGCGTATCCTGAAGTACGACAGAGCGATCAAGGATTTTTACGTCAACTATCGAATTAAACATTGCATCGATATCTTGGCGGAATCCTGGTCGGAGATCACGAAAGAAGAGATTACAAAGGCGGCGAATAAAATGATTAATCCTGATGGCAGTTGCGTTCGGTGCGAGACGAGAGAGCTCGAACCTGATTGGCAGGGAATGATGAGCAGAATCGCGGGAGAACAGGGCACCTCGGCGCGGGTTTTGCCATTTTTAAGGTACTGCGAGCAAACGGAAAGAAAGAGCGACAAGGTTAGGGTTGAAGTAGAAACGACGGAACATCGAGCAGGAGCGCAACAAATAATTAACGACGGGAGCATGGACGAGACAACCAAGAACGAGTTACGGGTGATTTTTGAGAGATTGACATTTTACAGTATGCAAACACCGGCTAGTATGCAATACATGGTGCAGGGAATAAAAATGTTTTTCTTGGGCACGGACAGTTAAATAAGCAGGTACGTGTGATCAAAATTTCCAGCCAATTATATATTAATTATATATTATATATAATAATATATAATATATTATAATTATATATTAATAATATTAATTATTTACAAGCTAATTTTCTTTTTCTGCAATATTTGTTATTAGGAAATAGAGGGAACCGGACAACGTGGATCACGAAAACGGGCAATTCCGAGGCTGAACAGAACAATGTACAGTTATTAATTAATGCATACAATAACGCATATTACTTGTATAATTATATTTATAATGGTAAATAAATGTAATCAAAATTACACGTATCGTGTTTGATTTTAATGCAATCAGAACTGTCTATATCATGGTTGGTCTAATTTTAATCAGTAAAATTATCTAGCAATATGTTAAAAGAAATTCTGTTCTAAAAATGTTGAAATTAGAAAAGGTTCTGTTATTGCATTATGAGTTGTTATCCAGGATTTCGAATCGAAGGAGAGCCGATGGCAAGTGCCGCAGTATACGTGTTCACAGGCTCCGTCGAACCTTCGTTTCGGTGTAGAGGGAAAATCGACGAATCATAGGGCCGTTACAGTAACACTGCGCTGTTCATGACATAGCAGATTTTTGCCATTTGGGGAGAAATTACTGCATACGGTTAATTACTTCATATTATATTATATTATATTATAATTACATTACATTGCAATTACATTAAATTACATTACATTACAATTAATCACAATTATATTACATTGCAATTAGATTACAATTACATTACATTTACATTACATTACAATTACATTACATTGCAATTACATTACAATTACATTACATTGCAATTAGATTACAATTACATTACATTTACATTACAATTACATTACATTGCAATTAGATTACAATTACATTACATTTACATTACAATTACATTACATTGCAATTAGATTACAATTACATTACATTACAATTAGATTACAACTACATTACATTTACGTTACATTTACATTACATTACAACTTCATTACAACTACATTGCAATTGCATTACATTACATTATATTACTATTACATTGAATACGCGAGTACAATTGAACGCGTGCCGCGTTCTCCAGTTTGCATAAACATTTCGCTATAAGGAATAAATTGCAACACTCGACCGATGCATAAGTTAAGAAGCGCGAAAGGTTAAATCTAAACGGCTAACCGCGAGTCGATCGTGTGCGCATTGACAGTGAAACATCAAAGAAAATTCCCCGAGTCGTTTGGATGAATTATTAGCGAACCGATGCAGAAAACATTTTCTTTCGCCTAGAGAGATTCGCAGCCTCGTAATTATAGACCGCCATCGATTTTCCGCGCAACACGGTCGCGAGCGCGCGCGATTTGTTCCTACGTTGCTGGAATGTTAATGGAAAGTGGATATGTATAACCGAGCTGTGTAGATCCACCTTGACTCCCACCGGTGTTGCGAAGTTTATGTGGGTAATCGGATCAAGGTGTGTGCGCGCGCCGCAAAGGAAAATCAAAAGCGCCGCGAAACTAACATCGAAACTTTCGGTCACGAACGGATTCGAATCTGCGATGCATTCGATAGATTTTCCGGTATCGAGCCGCTCGAAGGGCTCGGAGATTCCCCGAAGGGTTTCCGGAACCTTTGGTAGTTTCAAGGTTGCTCCGAAAATTCTACGTGACGTTAGCGACGTATTAAGGGCGTTTATAAGGTCGCGGATACCATTTGGACGACTTCGGAGAACTTTGAAGGACTTCGGAAAGGTTCAAGGGATATTTTAGGAGGTACAGGATATTTGGGAAGGTTCGAGGGATTTTTTATAAGGCACAGGATATTTGGAGAAATTCGAGGAATTTTTTTGAAGGTACAGGATATTTGGGGAGGTTAGAGGGATTTTTTATAAGGCACAGGATATTTGGAGAAATTTGAGGAATTTTTTTGAAGGTACAGGATATTTAGGGAGGTTCGAGGGATTTTTTATAAGGCACAGGATATTTGGGAAGGTTCGAGGGATTTTTTACAAGGTACAGGATATTTGGAGAAATTTGAGGAATTTTTTTGAAGGCACAGGATATTTGGAGAGGTTCGAGGGATTTTTTACAAGGTACAGGATATTTGGAGAAATTATTTTAGTGGCTAAAACAGCACAGGATATTTGGAG